TGGGGGTCACAAAAATACACAACTTAGTAACTGAACAATATCATCATTCTTTGACTAGAACAGTCAAATCCTCACAGCCCAATTCTCTGGAAATCTATCACTAGGCAAATTTGGGAAACACTGCTCTACCACATTTTCGTTTACGGGATTAGCCAGAAGAGCCCTGAAGAAATAAAACCCAGTCCTGGTGAATTTTGAAAGATCCTTGGAGATCTTTTAGGTGGGGCATTTAGGAGGTGTTCTGAGGAGTCTGTGGGTACGTGAGGGAAGGGGGAATAGCCATAAAAGAGAGAGAATAGCAAAGGAAGGGGGCTGGAGGAGAACTCCAATGAGATTCTTTGTAGAGAGAAATGGAGAACAATTAAATTAGAACCTTCAGGGGAGGGCTCTGGCACTGATATTTTTTAAAGCTCCCATGATGACTACAAACTGCAGCCCAGGTTTATAATCTCTGTTCCTTAGCTGAAGTTCACCAATTTCACATCAGGTAAAGCTGGTCACTGATACTGAGGTTGTGATTCATTTATTCCCTGCTCAAGAGGATGTGAGGATTTTAGTTGAGCTGCTCCTTTTTAATTAGAGCAAAATTCCTAAAGAGGAAATGATTAGCAGGTTTTGTCCATTTCAATTGTGTCATATCACTGAATATTCCCTTTCTACAAGTAAAAAGAAAAAGGTAGATTTTCCACTTATCAGTGTGTGTTATCCAGTTGTTACAGTAAGATGAGATAAACTCAGAAATATGGCTGTAAAATAAGTCTTGAAGTCTTTATTCTTTTCTAAGTTATTGCAAAGAGTAAAGTGAAGTGAAAGTGTTGGTCACTCAGTCACGTCTGACTCTTTGCAACCCCATGGAATGTAGCCCTCGAGGCTCCTCTGTCCATGGGATTCTCCAGGGAAGAACACTGGAATGGGTAGGCATTCCCTTCTCCAGGGATCTTCCCCACCCAGGGAACAAACCTGGTCTCCTGCATTGCAGGCGAGTATGACCTAGTAATACTACAAGCGGTCCAGTGGAAGAAGAAATGAATTTGGTCTCAGAAGATAGGCAGGACCACTACCAGGACACTGCCCATGGAAATCATTAAACACTTAACTCACACTTAGGTTCCTTCTCTGAAAATAAGATTTTTCATCTCTTTGGATCTATAATGCCCCTGATTGTAAGATGCACCAGTTTTACATATCACAAAAGAAACACAGATGACTGTATTATTCCATCCATAATGTAGATAGTTAGAATTATGACAGCATCTATTGGTAACACAGTCTAATGTTCCAGAATATAAAAATAAAAACTTTTTTTTCTTGTCAATAAGATAAGCTGAGAAAAAAACCTCTAAATCAATCTTTCCTAAAGTCAATTTGCTAAAAATGCCCATTGAAACTCCCTTCTTCTGCTCATGCTTGTTGTTTAGTCACTTAGTTGTGTCCAACTCTTTTGTGAACCCATGAACTGTAGCCCGCCATGCTCCTCTGTCCATGAGATTTCCCAGGCAAGAATACTGGAGTGGGTGCCAAGATACAAAAGATTATCTAATTAAAAAGCAAGCTACTTCAAAAGTTTCCTATGTAACTTCCAAAAGATGTGTTAAAGAATGCTATCCTCCTCCCCCTTCCCTTCCCCTCCGCCGGCCAAAGAAAGTGATTAGAGACACATATTTAACTGGTGATAAGAGCAAGAATTGTTTTAGTCAAAATCTAATCATGAGACCTTAATATATATTTTAGTTTGGCAGAAGCCAATAGTGTTTGTTTCAATGTTGCACATGTGTAGCATGAAAACATGAGGGTGATTACAAAGGCATAAGGTGAACTGGGTAAGCATGCTCAGTTAGTGAGGTATTCCACGTAGATGGAGGAGGGACAGGATGAGAAAAAAAAGATACACGTGGAAAAGACTAGGGGAACACAAGAGTTTGGAGGGGGGGGGTAGGAGGGTGGAGACAACTGTGTAATAGAAAGGAGAGAAGAGAGGAAGGAAATCTAAGATGTTAACTGAATGCCTCTAACAATTGTTCTCCTGGATGAGGCCTTTAATAAATGTATAACCTGACAGAAAACAACATTCAGAAAATATCCAGAAAAGAAACAGCCTGGATGCAAATAGTAATGAGAGTGGGTGACAAGAAACTGTAGCTAAAAGATAGAAGACTGTGTGAGGGAAGTGGGGCCTACAAACCCACGGAAGGGCTCCAGAAGAGCCTCTTAGTAGCGAGGAGACAGAAACAGGACTGCAATCTAGCTTAAGAAGCAAAGGCAATTTATTAGCTCATGTGACCAAACTATGGAGAGGACTGAATGATCCAGAGACTCAAAAGACAATGCTACTCTTCCCTCATTTCTCATCCTGGTCTTTTTCTCTGTTTCCTCCTTGGGGTACCAAGAGCCTTAGGTTGACATCCTTTATTAGCTCACGAGCCAAAGGTTAAAAACAAACCGACAGCCAGCCAGCCAGACTCTCTACCTGGGCAATGTTCATCACTGTATTCTCAAATCACTAAGTGAAAGATGTATGGGAAACTTGATAATGGAGGGTTTAGGCTGGTGACCTCACCTGAACCAGCTGATTCAGCCAGACATTACCTGCCTTTTGTTGAGATGCGATAGGAAAGGATAGTGCTACCAGTGCGCTTCTAAAGCTTAGTAAATTATACCAGGATCTAATTACAGCTTTGTATCTAACAACAAATTTTCAAAAAACATGGAGAAACAAGTTAAACGACATCATCAGTGATAAACGAGCCAAATGAACGAAATGTTACGTTTCATGGTGTAAATATCCGGTTAGCTCAACAAATCAGTATCATGAAGAGAAACGGCGGTGGGGGAGGGGAGAGTGGAGATGGGATGTTAGGAAACTAATGAGACCTAAGAAGCACAGCAAGCAAACACAACGTGGGAGGACAGAACCTTCTTTGTAAGGCATCTTTTAAACAACCAAGGAGATTGGAACGTAGACTGAGTATTAGGTGATGCTAAGGAATTACCTTAACTTTTCGAGGTGTGATAATGGGTGGTTACTTTTCTTTTTTTTCCCCCAAGTATTCATCAAAGAAAGTTTAAGTGGGAAACTACCAGCTCTAAAGTGAGGCACCAGCCGGGCGGCCCACTCCGAAGAGCGTCCGCCTCACGGAGGGCGCGTGTCCCGCTACCCCGCGGGCTCCTGCAGCGCGCAGCTCTGAGGGCCGCTGTCGCGCTCGCCGCTCCCAGCATGCTCCACGGGCCGAGCGCTCCCGCAGCGGGACCCGGGGCCCTGGGGCCCTCGATGGGACCCCTTACCCAAGATGCTCCGGGCACTCATTTGCATGTCCCACCAAGAGGTGAACTCGACTGCGGTCTATTTGTCAGAGCACCAAACGTGCGAGCTTTGTGAGTGGTTGCGGGAACTCAAATTTCCCTAAATGTTCCGCGTTCGCTGGGAAGAGGCGCAGTTTGGTCACCATAATGGTAAAGAGTCGAAGATCTCCTTGCCTTATATACGCTGTGGAGGAGCAGGTATATTGTGCTCGCTTCGGCAGCACATATACTAAAATTGGAACGATACAGAGAAGATTAGCATGGCCCCTGCGCAAGGATGACACGCAAATTCGTGAAGCGTTCCATATTTTGCTCTTTTTCCCCACGGTCCAGATATTGCCTTCAGCACAAAGGAAACGCCTTGGGCACGCAATGCTGAAATTGTGTTTTTTCACTATAAAATGTTATAAAAAATATTCGTGCAGGGCAATCTATGAAATGAGAATGAAGCTGAGTTACATCTGTAAATTTATATGCAAATATGAGTTTGAGTAAACTCCGGGAGTTGGTGATCACAGGGAGGTCTGGCGTGCTTGCAGTCCATGGGGGTCGCAAAGAGTCCGACACGACTGAGCGACTGAACTAAACTGATGTCGTTTCTACATTATCTTGGAGATAAGATATCTTGCATTTCCTTAATAGAACTTGAAAGCTCTGAAATCGCCTTTTGATCTGTCTCCCTCGACAACACAAAGCAGACGCTCAGGTGGGTCTGGCTCTTACTTCACTAAAGGCTGCCCGACACAGGAAATGCTCAATGAGTCCTTACCAAATCATTTCTAAATTATTAAATAAATGAATTATTGCTAAGTTAATGGATCCTTGCTATAGAAAGTAAGCAACAGTAGTACACATTTCTCGGGCCTACTTTGTGACTTTGGTCGTTTTTGACTGGAATTCGTACTCTTCTCAGACTGTGAGCTACACAAAATCAGGGACTGTTACCAGTGTTGGTCGGTGGATCCTGGAGCTTCAGGATCAATTGAAAACTGGCTAGAAGCAGCAAGCCCGTTCCTAAGTCTTTCTGAGAGGGGTTTTCTACGCCTGTTTTTATGACTTCTAAGGTGCACTCGAAATGCCGCTTTACCTAAACCGGGTGGATTCTGTGATGGGAAATACAAAAATTCAGCGCCCAAAACTGAAAGTGTATTTTTACCAATAAAAACAAGCATTCGACTGCAGACGCCAAGATTAGCTAGGTAGCTTAATAAAAATGAGACAGGTTGGCCGGTGGGATGCCAGGCAGCCATCAAGCTTGAATCGATGCTGGGAGGGCAGAGGATCCGGTGGGAAAGAATTGCAAGTGACCTCGGACTCTGGGGATGCACGCCGGAAAGCGCAAACCGGGGATCTGCCTCCAAAACTACCTCCCAATACTTCAGTTTTTTGTGTTAATCCGGCAAACAGTGTCTGGAGGTGGGGAATTTCACAAAATATGGAACGCTTCACGAATTTGCGTGTCATCCTTGCGCAGGGGCCATGCTAATCTTCTCTGTATCGTTCCAATTTTAGTATATGTGCTGCCGAAGCGAGCACGCTTCTGCCTCCGTCCACGGTTTATATAAAGTCCGGAGCATCTTATCTCTTTACAGTTACGGTGACCTGAACCGTGCATCTTTTTGATGACTCTGAAACTTTTAGGGAAATTTGATCCTCGGATCCACGCGCAAGGCTCTCATGTTTTGTCAGAATACCAAATGCTAGACCGCGAAACTTGTCGAGTTCGCCTCTTGCTGGGACATGCAAATGAGTGCCCGGAGCATCTTGGGTAAGGGCCCTGTCACCGGCTCCAAGTCGGAAGATGGGTCCTCTGCGGCGCTCAGCCCCGCGGAGCATGCCGGGAGCGGCAAGCGAGGCTTGCTTGAGAAGCTGCTAGCAAGCTGGACACGCGCGATCCGAGACGCCGCCGCGATGCGGAGTGGGCTGCCCAGCTGCGACGACTGAGGCAGCCCTGGGGGCCTGCCTGGAACAAGCGGCATTTCCCCCAAGTCTAAGAATTTGCGAATCGGTTGCCTTGCTGGGCCACTAGGATGCTGGGTCACTAAGATTTTGGATCGAGCTCGGGTTCTCCCAGCAAAATGTGGAACGTGTCACCAATATTTCACCCGTGACATAGTAGCCTTGTGGCAGTTTCAGAGGCTTTGTTGATATAAGTCTAGCGTCCAGCCCTCCGGGAGATTCCTCCCAACAACTAAACCAACTTAGATAATGACGGTCAACACCACACTCTAGGATGCCCCGGGCTCCGCGGGCGTTAGCACCGGTGGATCCGGCCTGAATCCATTCTGCGCAGAAGTCAGTGAGATGGGAGGGGCAGCCAGGACGGATGGACACGCCCCTCACAGGTGTCCTTCCCCGAGGCCACCTTGTAGCCTGGCCTCCAACCCGCTGGAACACTGAAGGACACGCTGGAACGCAGCTGTTTGGCCTGAGAGATCGATTAGAAGAATTAGAGTATTAGAGCTGAACTGGAGAATCATTCTTGAGCTTCCGCGTACTTTCCCACACGCTAAACCTGACCCTATTATGATACAAACATGCCGGAAGGATCTACCTGTAAGACATACTGTAATGCTAGTGTTAAACATCCTGATTTTAACTACTGCTCAAGTCGCAGCCTGACACGTTGTGAACTGAGGACCAAAGGTGAAAGCCTCCATATGTCGAATTAAAGTGAAGGGCATAAGCTTGCCTGCGTTGTGTTAAAATGGCACCCTTAACAAGGCATATGGCATATTATAGAATAAGTGGGATTTTGCTTCTTTTTTCTCCCTTCTATGGTCGTTCTACCCTTTCCACAACACAATATTTTGAAGTAAAAATCTGTGAAAGATCAGTAATTTTGAGAAGTTTTAAAATTGGTATCCAATTTAATGATGTACAGAAAGAAAATAGGGTGAACCCGTGTAAGAGTTTCTGGTATTGATGAGACAAAAATAGAGAAAGGAACAGAAATCTTATATGGATTATTGCTGAACCTATCTTTCTCTGTGTTTGTAGTTGTAATTCTCTTCTTTCACAGATTTTGAGAAGTAATAAGATATACCGTTCTTACCTCTCCCCAAATCAGGCAAAAATGACAGTCTGTTGAGTTAAGTTGTCCAATTACAAATAAAATATGCTTTGATGCATTTTTTCTAATGGCCTGTCTTTTCAATAAGCATTTCTGACTTCAAAGCTATTAAGAAATAGTAAATTGATGTTCAGTTTTATGATTTAAAGAAATATATCAAAGCCCCTCATGTTCTTACTTCATTTAGAAACCGTACAGCCATGTTATTAAAGGATACATGGTTAGAGGAGCCTGTGGCTCAGCTGGTAAAGAATCTGCCTGCAACCTGGGAGACTTGGGTTTGATCCCTGAGTTGGGAAAATCCCCTCAAGAAGGGAAATGCTACCTACTCCAGTATTCTGGCCTGGAGAATTCCATGGACTGTCCATGGGATCCCAAAGAGTGGGACAGGACTGAGTGACTTTCACTTTGACTTCATAGTTGGAAGGATGGTCAGAGTAATAATGACATGAACTTGATGTCTTTACAAGTTGTAAACTTCATTCAGGCTACAGTTCTAGGTGACCATGTTTAAGCCCTTCATATTCTGAAAAGAGGAAAAATGTTTTACTACAGACAAAAAAATTTTGAAAGTTAACTAGAGATCAAATCCTGCAGGGGAAATTTTTTATAATGGCTTTAAATTATCAGATATGCATAGAAATAGCAAAGTGTGTGATTTTCGAGTCATGACGCTTGGACTAGAGCAGAATTTCTCACAGGTGATTTACACATGAACCCCTTTAAAGAAATAAATTCTCTCTAGATTCCCTGTATTGCTGTAATTACTTCTATTACATTGTGATTTAAATATGTATAAACATAAAACTGGGTATAAACTCATTCTTGTAGCTGTTACATAGTCTAAAACCAAAGCAAATTTGGTTACAAATTAAATACACATCTACAAATCAATATAATTCAAATGAACAACATTAATTTATTGCAGTAGATAATGTGTATGGCTGAAACTAAACACTCATGGGTTTGATAGTGGAAAGATGTAGCCTCAGATTTAGTTATGTACTAAACTTGTTTCTGTGTTTTGACTCATGCAGAGAATGCAATTTGCATAAGCATGTTCTGAAAAAACTGAACCTTGGTTTACTACCAACTTATATAGATACTGGAACATAGTTTTTAAAATATTTTAGCATTTTTGAAATGTGGCCACAGCACACAATAGATGGGAGCTGAGACTCTATGAAATAGGGTAGTTTCAGGATATCAGGCCTCCTGGTTAACACTGCAGTAAACAATCTTTATTGATAACTCCATAAAGCTGTATTTCAACATGGAGTTGGTGTAACAGTATAATTGAAATCAGCACTAAATATACATCTAATCAAATTTTGCTGAAATTTAGAACAAGATAAGATTATATGGAGTTAGTTTTAAACTCTTAAATATTTTTTTAACTTTTTTTTTTTCCAGTTTCAGCCCTGAGATTATAGTCAGACAATTGAAAGCTAAGAAAGAACTAGGTTTCTCATAGTGTTTTGTTTACATCTTCTTGGGACTCCATTTGGACAATATTTCAACAATTGTTGGCAAGAGAGGAAAGGATTAACAGAGAGACTGTATAATCAAAATTACCCTCTCACCCCAAAACAAGGCAGACAGGTTCTACAGAGAAACAAGTCTGACACAGGCATCATAAGCCTCGTGGTTTTTCAAACAGGCTCCATACCATGTTTGCCATGAATGAGGCTTGAGAATGCAGAATTTCACAGGGGCAATTAGATACTGAAACTGCCTCATTTACATCATTTCAAAATTGATCATAAATCAGACTTTATTATGATTGCTTCCACTCTGTTTTCAGTTTATAATATTCAAATTACCATTTAATCTTTATTTGTATAGACTGTCCTGAAAGCATTTGGATTTCTCTTGGTGTAAATACATCATTCATATTATTCAGTTTATCTCTGTTCATTTCTCATTAGCCCCTACAAAATAGTACAGTACTCAGTAGCATATCAGTTTCTTGATGAGAAACCAAAGTATTGATTTCTTTAAAAAAGTAAGAAACTAAAGACAAGCATTGAAAATGTTATTCATATGTATATTATTACTAGGGAAATAGAAATTTTGCCTTCACAGAATATGAGTACAGTGGCAGACACTGGCCATTGCGACTATTTATTATAGGTAGTAGGACATGCCAACCAAACAGCACTGACACATTGACGGTTCCTTAGTTCAGAAAGATGAAATTTCAAAGGTAAATGAAAATTTATATTGACATTTTATGGCAATGCTTAGTTGTAAACTAAAGACAATTTATTCAGAAGTTTCAGCCTCTGCTTATTTTAATATTTTAGGATAATCATCCAAATATAAATAACTTGTCTTTAAAAATCCAGTAGAAAACTCTGACCCCTGAGAACCTGTCTTAAGACTCCAAGAGATTCTATATCCCAGTTTGAGAAACACTTTATAGGTTGATATAGAAAAATCTACTTTCTAGAGTTTGTGCATCTTTATATGTGTTCTTTTCTTGAGGGGACAACTCAAGAATTAGAAATAGAAAAGGACAGGGTAATGGTTATTAAGCACCAACTTCTTGGTAGGCATATAAGATTGCATTTAATATTTGCAATTATTATCCCATTCTACAGCTGAGGAAACTGATGCTAACAGGAATTGTGCGCCTTGTGTAAATTCATATGAGTAACAATACTGGGTTAGGGGAAAGCCAGCATTCAAACTCAGGATCCTCAGAATCCAAATCAATGCTGCTTCTTATTCTATAATTTTATCTAATATTAGAGAAACCCTAATACAGCTTTAGTCAGGAAAATATGAACTATTTTTAAATTCTTGGGCAATCAATACATAGAACATCAGTTCAGTTCAGTCGCTCAGTTGTGTCCAACTCTTTGAGACCCCATAGACTTGGGGTACTTGGATACTTCACAAAAAGATATTCGAACAGCGAATAAGCAAATAAAAAGATGCTTAATACCATTAATCACTAGAGAATTGCTAGTTAATATACAATGAATACTATTCCACACCTATTAGAATGGCTAAAATATAAAAGACTGACAGTACCAAATATTGGCAATTATGTGGATCAACTAATAACTCTCATACATTGTTGGTGGGAGTATAAAATAATACAACTTTCAAAGAACAGTTTGGCAGTTTCTTATAAAGATAAACATATATTTACACATACACTTACACAAGCTTTCACATATTTGTCCAGAGAAATTAAGACATATGTACACAAAGATTCATATAGGAAGGTTTGCAACTGCTTTACTCATAATAGTTCCAAAGTGGAAACAATCCAAATGGTTTCCATCAACAGGAAATTGGATAAGTCATAGTATACAGTGGAATACTACTCAGCAATAAAAAGGACTGCATCACTGACATGCATAACAACCTGGATGAATTTTACAGATGTATTGTACAAAAGAAGCCAAACATAAAAGAGTACCTTTGTATTATTTCTTTCATATAAGGTTTAAAAAGAAGCAAAGCTAACCTAATAGGAATAGAACTCAACACCCATAGCTTGGGGGGAGAAGCAAAGGTGAAGCAATGGTGAATGGACTAAAAGATGGTACAGAGAAAGTTTCTGGAATGATGTAAAGTTCTATATATCTCAGTCAGTGGGTTATATGGGTGTATATATTTGTCAAAACATATCAACTATACACGAGATGTGTGCATCTCACCATTATCAATTATACTGCAATAAAAAAGCAGAAAGCAGTGAGAACAATAGTTCAGTTCAGTTCAGTCGCTCAGTCGTGTCTGACTCTTTGCAACCCCATGAACCTCAGCACGCCAGACCTCCCTGTCCGTCACCAACTCCCGGAGTTCACCCAAAACCATGTCCATTGAGTCAGTGATGCCATCCAACCATCTCATCCTCTGTCGTTCCCTTCTCCTCCTGCCCTCAATCTT